GGAATAGACACCGCGAACTCCAGAACGCGAGGATCAAACGTGCATCACCAGGCACCAAGGCTAAGGTGGGCGACAAGGTATTGGTCAAGGAAAGCGCCAGTACACTCTACCGGGATGGCGTCCACCCTAAACTTGCCCATGACCACTTCACAGGACCGTGGCAAGTCGTGCACGTCGTGCGAGAGGGGTTGAGCTTTACTGTAAGACTGCATGGACATCAAATCCGCCAGAGGACGGTGGCAGCCACGGACTTCCAGCCGTTTCATTCTCGCCCACAAGCCATCAGACATCCATTCGAAGATGAGTTTGGTCATTTTGTATGGTCGCCGGATTTAGGATTAGCTGAAGACTCCGTCGCGCGGCACCTCTGTATACTTCGGTGAATAGACGGGTGGTCCATGGCGCTGGAGGAATAGCGTCCGCATGGGCATGGGAGTACAGAGGAAAGTATCAGGATGGCACCACTTCTCCGTGGATCACCGAAGACACTGCCAGGGGCAGTTTCTCGCCTCTGCAACTTGATGTTTTTCATGCCCTGTGGGAAGACTTTCACGGGGTGAATATCGCACCACGACCCCTGGGACCGCCGTCGCGAGGAGAACGCGAAGAAGCAACGGGGACCGAAGCTCTCGCGGAATTTCCCTGTGGAACCATGGTTGGACCGGAGCTCATGGATCAAGAGAACAACATTGTGCTCAGCAGAGGGAAGGTCTGCGATTTCTATGATCCGTATTGGAGAGTGGAGTTCAGCGGCGGAGATTGGGAAGAGCTCAATCGCAGGGAGCCAAGGCGTGGAATGGATCTTGCCACCAGACTCCCACCGCTGACCGCTCAAGAATCGTGAAGTCGTACACTGCCAGCCATCTTCCGTCCTCCATGCGGGAAGCTGGGGGTGTGTGTGACGGCAGTGTTACGAATGAGGAGTTCCAAGATCGTCTTCTACAGTGGAAGATCGTCCTCAACAGCGTCGGTCAAGATGCAAGATCGTCGTCATAGTTGTCGGTCTGTGGAGACTGTTTGTGGAAGAACGTCTTCAACAGTGGAAGATCACCTTCTTCAGTGGACGATCGCCTTCTTCAGTTCAAGATCGTCATCGTCAAGGAGTCCGGTATACGGCGGCCAAAGTACTAACGGCCGTCATTCGGGGTCGATGATTTCAGCAATGTAACATCGACGTCGAACACACCGGCATCCGTCCTCTTGAGGTTCAAATCCATTTTTTGTGGTTTAACCTGGGGAGGGCGGCATCCTCCCTTTTCAGATCTATATTCCCGGCGTGGTATGATCTGAGGAGGGAGAAGCGCACGTTCTGCCACCTCCTTAGCATTTTGTGTTTTTCAACACATGTATGCTGGGAGGGTGTCACGGTAGCATGAACGGGCGCTAAATACTGAGATTCATTCCGTTTCACGATGGTTCGAGGAGGGCTAGGGTATACCCCAGGGTGTACCTGAATCATTGGCGGAGCCCCTCTAGAGCTCCGCCTCAACACGTGTTTTGGGTGATCGCTCACTACTGTTAACACGGCCAATCTCGGAAGAGGAACTTTGACCCACCCGCTAAGAAGCAACCAGTCTGTGAGTCAAAGCATGAGAGGTGGATCTGGATAGATCTTGCCTAGACCCCCCTTGCTAATCCCACCTTGATTAGACCCACAGGGCTAGACCCACCGGGATTGATCCCTTTGCTAGCTCCCAACTTGAATCCAATGGTGAGATACTGTACCATGAAACTGACCATGAAAAGGATGAAACCAATTGAACCCTAGCCAGTGCTTGTTACGCTAACACATGAGTGAGCTACCCTAAGCGATAGCGTTATAACAACTGTGACATAATGATGGTGTGTTTTGTAATCACGTCTTAGCATTCTAAGACCCATGTTTATGGTCGCCAAATCTTTGAAAAAACACTTCAAATGTTGTCAAACATTTGCGCGCGAATATCTGCCAGAGGAACATTTGAGTACCGTTTTTATGGGCAAAAAAACCTTTATCGTGTGGTTTTCTCGAAATGCATCGCACGTGCGGCGGGAATCGTGGTCTACTGCTACCAAACGATTTGTGACAGACAAACCACAAATTCGTCATGGAAACTGAATGTAACGAGCTCGCAAAGGGCTCCCCACAACCCTTGATGCACTGAGCTGATGCTGTGCCCGCCAACATGTGGCGATAGCGCTCCGTGCGTGCGAGAAAAAATGTTCTCGGTGTCAAAAAGAGACCAAAACGTGCGTCAGCGCTTCCCAACGGCAAAAAGTCCGCCGCTTGAGAGGACATGTGAGTACAAAACTATCCAGCTCTCGTCCTCTAGACCATCGATTCATGTTTTGTCTTCTTGGGTGTCTTCTCCATCAACGACTCTCATCCGGTTGTGCGTGGGTTAGCAGTGGCCGCGCTCAGCCAGCAGGGAGGCACATCGTTGTGCGCGCAACGTTGTGGACACAACTTTTTTTTCGGTCTATTTTTTCACTTGAATATAGAGGGCTTGTTCCTCCGTCCCAAAAAAGACTTTTTCAACACATGGAGTTCACAGCGACGCGCCTCCCTGCCTGTTGAGTACGTCCACTGCTGAACCACGCACACCCGGATGAGAGCCGTTGATGGAGAAGACACCCAAGAAAACAAAACATGAATCGATGGTCTAGAGGACGAGAGCTGGATAGTTTTGTGCTCACCTCTCCTCTCAAGCAGCCGACTTTTTGCCGTTCGGAGACACAAACCACGCTTTCTCCGTGCCCTCCAAACCACCCCTGTCTGTTTGTTTTTTTGTGCACGCTTGACGAGCTCCCGCCATGTATCAGCCGGCAAAACATTGACACGGTGACTCTAGGGTTGCCCGGATCCCTCTATGAGCTTGCTACGTTGAGTGTGCGCTGCGCAGTGGTTGGTGTTTAGGACGGAAGGGGCGGTCGGCTACTAATCTCGCCGCTCTTGGGAAACATTTTCGCGACCTGCCCCATTTCAAAATGTTTGAGAATATTTTATCAAACGAGCGACTTTTGCCCCATTTCAAAATGTTTGAGAATATTTTGCCGAAGATTTTCTCCCATAAACAGTGAAACAAAATCTTTGTCCGCAAATGTTTGAAAATAGATGGTTTCGTGGTGTCATATTAAGAAAAATAAAAATATATAAACATTTTCGCAAAGATTTGGCGACCATAAACATGGGTCTAATAATACAGTAGGTGTTTTTCTTTTCACTGTTCAGTCGTCTTCAGAGCGAGTATTATTCATAGTAACGTGTACAGTTGTACTTGATGTCTGGTAGAGCGTGTCCATGTGGTGCACCGTATGTATGACAATGGTGACATACTTCCGGCCCTTCAAGAATAGTTGCATGATCCACTATACATGGGTCTACTTTGCATTCTAGAGATAGGTGTTAGGTGTATGTAGTAGGCGTGTTTTTTCAATCGTCTTCAGGGTGGTGGTAGTTGTCTGGCCATCGAGCGTGCCCATGTGGTGCACCGTGTTCGACATCGTGACGTTTGGTTATTTACTCACGTCTGCGAGGAGGTCGAATGTAACAATGCCCCCGTGTGCTCATCAGGCGTCTTCTTCGTGTCTACCTAACGTGGATTATTAGTACCCGCTGAAAACGTAAATCTTCAGACATGCACCGCGACGATAACCTCGTCGAGTTGCTGTCGTCACAATAGCTGAAAACGATTCTATTTGGATTGGAACCGGCTATGCTATGATCACCCAAGACTGAAAACAGCAGTACAACATGTACCATAGTACGAACCTTCCTGTCGAAGGGCGATGCATTCAAAACCACCCTCTCTCGACCAACCGATTTGTGCGTGTTCCGCACCCGAAAAACCAGAGACCCCAAAAACACCCGGGGCGAAACTTCGGGTGGATGCACCAAGCACCAGGAAAGCTCACCCGCGCTTCCGACGGCACTCAAGGAAGGGTGGGGGGGTGTACTCATAGTCGTGCATGCCGTAGTCAATACACCATTGACCTCGCATCCCTTCAAAGCCGGGACGGGGCACGCACCGGGTTGTCACCGGACCAGGCTCTCACATCACCAAGCGCGAAGCGCCGTGAGGTATTCGGCGAGTCGCATGGATGGTGCGCTACATCCTGCTACATTGTAAGGGTGTTCGGCATCAGGCAGGGGGGGGGGGTGTACTCATAGTCGTGCATGCCGTAGTCGTTTGACCATTGACCTCGCATCCCTACAAAGCCGGGACGGAGCACGCCGGGTTCTCACCGGACCAGGCTCTCACATCACCAAGCGCGAAGCGCCGTGAGGTATTTGGCGAGTCGCATGAAGGGTGAGCTGCATCCTGCTAAGGGTGTTCGGCATCTTGTGCTTACTTCCTTGCGTACGGATGACAGCTACGTATGACTTAATTTA